AGCGTTCTAGTTTGTCGCGTCGCGTCACTCAGCGTAGACGCTTGCGGCGCCGACAGCAGGAGCGTTCTGGTGTTGACGCGTCGCGTCGCTCTCGCTCAGAGTAAACGGGCTGTTTCAGTCAGAATAACCGTTAAAATAACCGTCACGATTCAAATAAATGTTTTTAAATTTGAAGACGAATGTCTAATGAGCGGAGCCCGTGTGATGTGTGTGTGGTGCTCGGAGTCTTTGTCACCCGGGACGGTGACCCGTAAGTTGTTTTTGTCGCGTTCTGGTGGGTGTTTGAACGGCTTTGGTTTGATGGGTGTTTAAAGATCCGTTTAAAGAGTCGCAGCGCGCAGATTCATTCCGGCCCTCACCATAATTTACTCAGATGACCAAAGTTTCCGATAAAAACAACAGCGACTACACTACTTATACAGTAAAACTCCACTAACTTATTATTATTAGCAGCTACTGTCCTCATAAAGAAAGTAAAGACATTTGACAGATTGTAAAACTTCCCGTCAAACACTGTTTTAGAGAGATCCCATATTAATGTATAATAACTTTACAGTAGTAGCTGTGGTGATCAGGCTTTGTTGGTTTTATTATTTGTCGAAAGCCATGACTTGACATTTTTCCATTCGAGGAAAATCTGGCTGTGTGTCAAAACCTAGTCAGAATTTTTGGGCTATTCTGAATTACTAATGTTTTTGGGGCTTAATTTGTGAGTCATCAACATTTTTGGGTCATCATAAGATCCATTGAGGCTCACTAGTATTTTTGGGTCATCATAAGATCCATTGAGGCTCACTAGTATTTTTGGGTCATCAAAGTATCATTGTTAATCACCAATATTTTTAGAGCATAATTTGTGAGTCATCAATATTTTTGGGACATAATTTGTGATTCAACAACATTTTTGGGACATAATTTGTGAGTCAAAAACATTTTTGGGCCATCATAAGATCCATTGAGGTTCATTAGTATTTTTGGGGCATCAAAGTATCATTGTTAATCACCAATATTTTTGGGGCATAATTTGTGAGTCAACAATATTTTTGGGGCATCATAAGGTCCATTGAGGTTCACTAGTATTTTTGGGTCATCAAAGTATCATTGTGAATCAACAACATTTTTGGGTCATCATAAGATCCATCGAGGTTCACTAGTATTTTTGGGGCATCATAAGATCCATCGAGGTTCACTAGTATTTTTGGGGCATCATAAGATCCATCGAGGTTCACTAGTATTTTTGGGGCATCATAAGATCCATCGAGGTTCACTAGTATTTTTGGGGCATCATAAGATCCATCGAGGTTCACTAGTATTTTTGGGTCATCAAAGTATCATTGTGAATCAACAACATTTTTGGGACATAATTTGTGAGTCAACAATATTTTTGGGGCATCATAAGATCCATCGAGGTTCACTAGTATTTTTGGGTCATCATAAGATCCACTGAGGTTCACTAGTATTTTTGGGTCATCAAAGTATCATTGTGAATCAACAACATGTTTGGGACATAATTTGTGAGTCAACAACATTTTTGGGTCATCATAAGATCCATTGAGGTTCACTAGTATTTTTGGGTCATCAAAGTATCATTGTTAATCACCAATATTTTTGGGGCATAATTTGTGAATCAGCAACATTTTTGGGGCATTGTAAGATCTTTTATCAGTCACCTTTATTTTTGGGGTGTCAAAGTATCAGTGTGAATCACCAATAATTTTTGGGGCATAAATGTGTAAATCATTGTGAATCCACAACATTTTAGGACATCAAATGTAGCTTATATTCCAAGTCTTCCCTAAATGTGGTGATACACGGGGCAACATTTAGGGACATTTCTGTCTAAAGTATCCAGATGGAAATTTGTTGCCCATTCTCAAGGGGAAAGTGCCCAAGTAACATCGCTCGGCAACACTGCTCAAAATGTTGCCCCGTGTATCATCACGTTTAGATTCCCTAAAAGGTTGCTGACTCACGAGCTGTGCTTGATTCTCCTGCACTTGTGTTTGTGTTTCTCCTCACAGTTGGCTCGGTATTTGCATATGTTTCAGTGGTTCGTTGCTCTTTTGAATGTTGGCCAAAATGCTTGCTGTATGTCATGCCAAAGATGCTGTCTAGGTAGGCAGCTCATCCGAAGGAACCCATGATACTCTAAAATGGGTCTTTTTGCACAGGTATAAGTCAACATGACTCTCTGTTTACAATCTATTTTGCTGGATACATTTGCATTGATTTTACCCATGAGAAAATTATTGGTTGATAATAAAAAGTCTCTATATGAAGGTGGGGGATAAATTAGGAGGAATTGGTGAAATTTCAGAGATAGAGCAATTTATTATGAAAGATTACAAATAACTTTTGTTTTATTAATTGTTTATTTACATTTGTGCATTTTGCTGATGGTTTGTGGGCGGCATAATACTATCATTGTGAATCACCAATAAATTTGGGACACCAAAGTATAATTTTGTCAACATATTGTTTAGGACACCAAATGTAGCTGTATTCATTATTAATTATTATTAAGACATGCTTTTTGTTAATTGGACAGTGCTTCATCCAAAGCGATGTACATTGCATTCAATGTGTACATTTGATCAGTTAATAAATTCCCTGGGAATCGAACCCATGGCCATTGCATTGCTAGTGTCATGTTTGAACTACAAGAATTCTCGCGGATTGTTTAAAAAATGCTGATCTTATCAAATTCGTAATCAAATGAAAGTGCTGCACAACAGAGGTTTTTTGGGGCATCAAAGTATCATTGCAAATCAACAACATTTTTTAGGACATTCATACATTTTTTTAGCACATTCATAAAAGGTGGATCAAGTAAAATTTTGATGAATGATTATTAGGGGTGTGACGAGACACTTATCCCACGAGACGAGACGAGACGAGATTTTTAGACTTTTTTTTGAGAACGAGACGAGATGAGATTTTTAGACTTTTTTTAAAGAAATCCTCAATGATGAAATATATGGGGAAAAATAGTCTTTTATTCAACTGAAAAACACAAAATGCAAAAAAGTAGGTGCATTTTGAAATCACCTTGTACTTTATGAAATTAAACATCTATTTTAATTAATTAATTTAATTAATTGTTACCAAATTCTGTGTTTTACCATGTCTAATTATTTGAATGCATAAAACAACTTAATTTATTCTTTTTTTTTTTCTTAAAGTAGCCTTATGAATTTTT